CGCCGGGGGGAGGGCGGCGAGCCCAGCCAGGGCTCCGCTCTCCCCGGCAGCCAGAGCCCTGGGAGCAGGGCGGAGAGCCCAGCCGGGGCTCCTCTCTCCCCGACCAGCCAGAGTGCCGCGGGGAGGGCGGTGAGCCGGCCGGGGCTCCGCTCTCCCGCACGGCCGGAGCCGGAGCGCCGCGCCGCCCTCCTCCAGGTGCCACCCCAAGCACAAGCTTGGTGGGCTGGTGCCTGGAGCCGGCCCTGAGCAGGACTACTACTGGCACTGTTAGGATAGGCCACAACCTGCCCTGCATTTATGTTTCATCCTATGCAAGAACTGCAGATAGTGAAGCACTATCTCTGGAGGGCTATCACACTACATGTCCCAGAACCTCATTGCTATCTCAGATTTGAAAAACTAGGGAAGTTCAAGAGTCTTTTCAAATCTGCAATCTAAAATTATTTGCATCTTGCCTTGTGAACAACAGCAACAGAGGCAGACTGTGGCATTTTGCAGATTAATTCCCTGCGATTTTTCGTCCATGTGCTGATTAAAATAACAAACCCACTCTAAGTCATGACAAAATAGGCCCTATAAAGACTGGGGATTATACAGCTAGTGGAATTAGCTCTAAATTAGTTTTGCTAGTGAACAGAAGACTCAGCATTCCATACAATGTATATAATATTTCCACCATTTTATCAAAGTAGATTCTTAAATATTTAAACTGTATCTATCACAGTCAACACACCACTCATTTTGTGTGGAGGGTATGGCGGGGGGACAATGACCAAAGCCCAAAGACACAATAAATGGGAACGGAGGAACAAAGGAAAAGGAAGAGCAGTAAACACATCTCTTTGCTGGTTGAACCTTGCTATGTCTCTCAGACCTCTCAAAGTGCTGGTAAATTTGAAAGCAACAAGATGAGTTAAAGCCCATGGAGAGGTAGCTGTGTCCTGCTGCTCTACTCTAGAGCAGCAAAATGTCCCCTGAAAAGAACAGGACAATAGACTGAATCAGACAATCCAGTTATGAGGGAAGCCCTCAAAATGGTCAGCTAGAGCACCCAGTCGTTGATATTGGAACCAAACTTCCCAGCTTTTAGAGACAAAAGGTTTCTATCCAGGCTATGTGGCTGACCGATTATTTGCAGACTGGTAAAAGTGAACTTTAATAGGCTTTTCTAGAATAGTTTTAAGAAACATCACATAAATGGTGGTCAACTTTCTGAGAAAGATACTTTAAGTGATGAGGTGTGAGAAATACCATATTTTCACAATCCAGCAAATCCTTCTTCAGACCTATCTAGTTCTGGAAAGTCCACCTCCATGTTTCTAATGCCCACACTAAAGACAGTCTCCTAAAAAATTCATTCCAGATTTTAAACAAGAACCAGTGCATGCGGGAACAGGCGGCATTAAGATATTTAGTTTGTTTCAGTTACACTCTTGGCAATACTAGATGGAGCAAATATTTGATCTTTTAAAAAAAGAACTTTATACTAATATATTAAAGCCATCCAATAGCTTGGGGCAAAATTTTTAATGCTCCATCCAGGCATCATCTACAGTAAAAGTGCAACTCTGTTTTCATAACCAGGCGGTAACGCTTTCATCTGACTCTGTTACAGCAATCACTGTCAAGTTGTGTTCACACGGTGGCTTTTTCCTGCATAGTCAAATGTAAACCATCTGATCAGGGTTAGATAATATGAAGATACAGGTACCAGCAGCATCAGTATGCAGCAGAGGCTGCCCCTTTCCACACCGTCAGTACGCAGCGGAGCTACAATAGTGTGACATTTCATGAAAAGTGCTCAAGTAGACAAGGCCAGTGAGAAGCACCACACATTCACAGAACCTGGCATCTCAGAAGACTGGGGCCTTGTCTGAACTAGGATACAAGGTGCGTTGTTAGCTAACACATGCTAACTAACACATTCTAGAAGTCTGGTATAGACAAGGCAGTGTGTACAACATTCTACATTGGTCAAGCTTAATCTTGGGCTTCCTCACAGGCTTTAACTTGACCATCTTAACTAGGGTGACCACATTTCCCAATGCTGAACACGGGACACCTGGTAAAATTACTTGTATTCAAGCGAGTTCAACAGCAATCAATCAGAACTATGCACTACAAACATTCAAATTAACATCAAGCTGACTGAGCCCCTGTTAAAAAGAAATACTGCGTAGTTGGATTCTTTTTTTAACCTTCTTATCTTTAAGGATTTAGGGTTCACACAGGGAGGGGTGACACACACAGTCCCATACACCTCTCTCACACTGGGGAGGTAACCGACCAACCCCATCCTCCCTGCCCGATGCTGTCTGCCGTCCATGCCTCGCTGGAGCCCCAGGATGGACCTGCCTCTCCTGGTACCTGGTGCCGCATCTTCCTGAGGCAACGCGGGGGTGGGGGAGTAACAGGACATGCAGGGTCACATGCCCCCCTTCCCAGATTTCTTCCAGGGTTCACACCAGAAGATGGCCAGCAGCAGCCTTTCGGCACTGTGCAGGAGGGAAGGGATGGGAGTTGCTTCCAGCCGCAGGGGATGCAGTGGGGAGGGATGACCTGGCTCATATCTTTGCAGAGCTCATCACTTCCCCCATATCGCCTCCCTCCGCCCCCGTGGCTGGAAGCAGCTTGTCCCTTCCTGCCTGCACAGTGTCAAAAGGCAGCTAACATCTCCAGGCTGCTGCTGGCCACCATATAACCCAGCCACCTCCTGTCCCCCAGCTACAGCGTGGGCAGGAAGGGGTTAAGCCCTAAGGATGCATTGTGCATGAAGGCCCAGGGAACCTGACTGCAGGAGCTTCAGCAAACTGGACCAGAGAGGTGGCTCAGCGGGCGAGGGTGCCTAGGGGGCAGAGCAGCCCCGCACTCCCTAGGGGCAGGACCTAGGGCAGAGGGTTGGGGGGGTGAAGAGGGTGCTAAGCCCCTGTCCAGGGGGCTGCTGTGGAGCCTGCAGGGTCAGGGCATGAACAGGCTGGAAATCGCTTCCCTCCCACCCACCCCCCCCACCCCGCCACTCCAGAGCTTAGCTGAGGGGCGGAGAGGCTGCCCTGGCCCAGCGCTTTCCCGGGGCACTGGCCCAGCCAAAGGCAGTGGAGGAAAGAAGGAGCCTGCCAGCCAGGCTGTTGGTGAGCTGAGCGCCCCGACCAGGGCTGGTTCTCTGCACAGCACTGGGAGCAGGACACGCCCCACTGGGGGGGATATGGAGGAGCAGCGGGGCTGAAGAAGTAGGGCAAAGTGGCAAAACAGGGAGAAGACAGTGAGAGGGGAGCACGTAAAGGCCGATGGGTGGGCAGCAGGTGCGATATGTAACCAGCTGCCACCTGCCCACACTCACCAGCCACTACAGCTCACAGCCAGTGCCAGCCGGAAACGGGACGGTGGGCGGGGTCCTCCTGGCCAAGAGCTGGCAGTCAGCGTGGCTGCGCTGATGGACCAGCAGGGGGAGCAGCCAGCCCCATGCACTTCAGCTTGGCCCCGCCACCAGCCTTGTACTTCCACCCCCATCGTCGGCCACTGGACCCATCTCACTCACCGCTAGTGGGTGGGTGGCTGGCGAGCAGGGATCCAGCCACCAGCACAAGCTGCCAGGAGGGCGGGGGGGGGGGAAAAGAGAGACAAAAACAGGCAACTTGTCCCGTATTTTCTAAGAAAAAGTCGGGACACCCACAGGAGGGCTTAAATACGGGACTGTCCCTTAAAAAACGAGACGTCTGCTCACCCTAAGATTCTTAACATCTGTTAAAGGCAGCTGTGCCCTAGGTTGACCATAACTGGCTAACACAGTTTTAAACAACACTTAATTAAAATGTTCTAGTTAACGCATTTAAAAACAAAAAACCCACTTTTCCCTGGTCTCAACAATGCCTAATTGCCTTGGAACTGAATGTCCCTTAAAAAAAAAAATCCCACAGAGACAAATCAAAGAAATGTAAGTTTCCAACCACCTGCCTCCCTTCTAATCAAAGAAATCAAAGGAAGTGGGCATTTACCCACAAAAGCTTATGCTCCAATTCTTCTGTTAGTCTTAAAGGTGTCACAGGACCCTCTGTTGCTTTTTACAGATTCAGACTAACACGGCTACCCCTCTGTTACTTGACAGCAGATAATCTGGCCCTAAATTTGCAAGCTGCAAAATTCAGATTTGGATCCAAGATCTGAATCTAAGGTTTGGGCCCATCTGTAGTTTTCAACTAAATGACAATGGAGATTCATAGTTCATGCAAGTGATAATTACAAGGAATAGGATTTTATTGCTTGCTTTACTTTTCCACCTGATCATTAGACAATAGACCCATTTACGATGTTCTAAGCAGAACCACTCAATCAAGAATTAATAGATTATTTTTATGCATAAACACCATATTTGCAGTTATGTGAATGAACCAGTGTTCAAAATTACAACAGGTGTCTGTCTCCTTTGTCACAAATTTGCTTTTTACTTGAGAAACCTAGGAGAACAGATTGATTGTCTTAGGACATGAAACTGCATCATGCAAATGGATACTCATACACTGTCAGTGCATGCTGTATTGCTAGATTTTCTTTGGCACATACAAAACCTGCATTAATAGCCTACTCCAGCTCACTTTATTCATGCAAATTGGAAAGTTTTATCTGACTAAGATGAAGAGGTCTGGACCCTGCTTTTTAACTTTATGTTAATAGAGTTACAAGGTAAAGGTAAAAAGCAACAGAGGGTCCTGTGGCACCTTTAAGACTAACAGAAGTATTGGAGCATAAGCTTAAGCATAGTCTTAAAGGTGCCACAGGACTCTCTGTTGCTTTTTACAGATTCAGACTAACACGGCTACCCCTCTGAAGATAAAGATAGTCAACTAACTGCCTTAGGTCTAACCCACTGATGTGTCTGTATAAGGCCCACTCAGGCAGGCACACACCCACACAACACATTTTCATCTCCAGTCTTTCTTTCATCTGGTTCTGCTCCTACTTCAAGTTCTTGATTTTATTTCCCTTTCAATTGCATCTTTCTCTAGCACCATCTAATAGTGTGCATGCCTGGGGCTCACCAGGGGTCAGAGAGACTCACAAGCAGATGAAGGCTGCCACAGTATTATTTCCCATCCCTCAATAACAAAGCAAAAGTAAAAATATGGACGTACTTTGTGCCTGCCTCTAGATATCACTTGGTGTTTGGCACAGGCAGGCAAAAGGTGACTGGGGTCAGCATGGGTATTCACAGGCGAGCAGGGAGGTTTGATTACAGGGCCCTACATAGTTTACTTCAGATAAGGACTTGCAAAAATCCAGAAACAGCCATGCTCACTGACTCCCCTTGGCTATGATTCGATATGCCCAGTTAATGCCAACAATTAGAGGTCTGAATTATCTGCCCCATATAAAGCACCATTTTTAACAATCACAGTTATTGCCAATGCTTTTTGCATGGGATGTGTCGATACTTAATACCTCCCCTTTGGTAATAACTGGTGTTGCTTGCTCTCCTCCAGGTTTGCTTTCATCAAGTCATTGTGTCAATCTTACCTTGGGAGATCAGTGATCACTCATAGTTAAAACAGTTACCTTTTCAAGTGTAACTTGGCATGTACACCCATTATCTCACCCCCAAATATTCTACTGTTGGACCCAGGCCCTTTTATAAAGGTACATTAGATTTATTTGGTTAGCAGGAGCATCAGCTGTGCTTCTGAAACAAGGCACTGATGAAAATGGAAACATCCAACACCTAAGAACAATCACTGTGTATCAAAAGCAAATTCATTTTACCTGAATACATAGTTTATATATTGTTGGTCTAAATCACTAGGGAGAAAAAAGAAAAAGAGCTCTATCAGTAAAGCAGTTTAATGGCAGCACTTTCTAACTAGCAGTGATTTAAAATATCAATATATTAATTAAAAACATTTACATGGTTTTAACAATATTTCAAGTGTATTGCTTAGTCGTCCGTACTAAGGAAAACTCCCATTAACGTCTATAGAAGTTTTGTCTGACTAAGCATTGGGCGCTTAAGGTATGTCTACATTGCAGTGTAAGCCCAGGGTTCGAACTCAGGCACAAGATTAACCAGCCTTCCACCTACACACAACTCACACTAACCCAGGGCTTGGACTCAGGGTCCCAGGACTCCAGGGGGGTGAAAGGTCTGAGCCCGAGTCAAGCTGGGACCCAGCTCTATTGCTTTGCAATGTAGCTGCAGCCCCACTGGACTTGTACTCTGGGAATCTACCAAAATAATTCCACAATCTCATGGGCTGACTTTCTTTGTCCTCGGGAAAGGCAAGTTTGGTGGACAGTCACATTTTCCCACAATGCACCATGAATAAAGGTCTGGAGTAGCCACCTTTTGGGAGGGTGCTAGAAAGTCTCGGATATCGATGGTTGCACTCAGGCCAACATAATGTAGATGCTGGAGCCCCAGGCTGGGACCCAAAATTCAACAACTCCTAATCTGGGGTTACAAATGAGTGTAGACACTCACGCCCTACGTTAACAAACCCAGGGCCTGCTAACTCGAGTTCTGCTAACCTGAGCTTACACTGCAATGTAGACGTACCCTTCATCTTTAAGCACATATGGCAACCAGTCTGGAAAATAAATTTCAGTCTAACCATATTATAATACAGTTTATACGTACATATCCTGCAGCCACAGGAACCCATATCCATATATGCTACTGCAGACTAATGACAGGACAAATATTCAGGCCGACTTGATTTCAAAGGAGTTACTCACATGAGTAAAATTACACAAGTGCTAAAGTGCTCATAGGATTGGGGTACAATTTTCAGAAGTACTTAAATGATCAAGGCACCTAAATCTCATTGAAAGTCCATGGGTTTCAGGTACCTAAGTCACTTAGGTGCTTTTGAAAATTTTGTCTTGCATCTTGTATAGTGGAGAGAGAGAAAAAAAGGTAAGTGCAGACTCTGCAGCACTCAAGCTTAATACAAGCCAATGTTTTTAAAATAACTGTGCCAGGAATCAAGAGGTATGTTTTTCTGAATTGGGCCATGATTCATTAATGATGTACTGTTTAAAGTGAATTCAAACATGAGTTAGTGTTCATCTTAGTGCTGTATACAATACACTTAGGTGTAACATAAGGATGACAGTCAACACTGTTCATTTTATCAGAAAAGTTACTACTATTGGTCAGTTGGTAGCCATCAAAGGGTACATCTTCACTACCCGCCGTATCGGCGGGTAGCAATCGATTTTTCCGGGATCGATATATCGCGTCTCGTTAAGACACGATATATCGATCCCTGAACGCGCTCACCGTCGACTCCGGAACTCCACCAGAGCGAGCAGCGGTAGCGCAGTCGACGGGGGAGCCACGGCCGTCGATCCCGCGCTGTGTGGACCTAGGTAATTCGATCTTAGATACTTCAACTTCAGTTACGCTATACGCGTAGCTGAAGTTGCGTATCTTAAATCGATTCCCCCCCGCCCCCAGTGTAGACCGGCCCAAAGAAAGTTAATATATCAAGGGTCACCTCACTTATCTTAGAGTGTAGAGGCCTATAGTTTACCTGTCCTCTAAATAAATGTCTACCCTTCTATGATGGCCATGCCTTTCCTTTAAAAAAAGAAAACAAAAAACAAAAAACGTTACCTTAAGGAACTAGTTTTCCACAACTTGTGAATGACTTTGTAAACCCCTGTAATTGAAATGACATGTGTAACTGGTCTAGTACACGATCATTCTGGTTAACGTGCTATATTCATTTGACAGTTGTACTCACAGATATTTGTACTTTGTACCAGCATGGCACACAGGATGCACACATTGCTAACAAAAATAACCTAAAATAACTGTTCTTGAGGGCACAGCTCCCTGGCACAGATCAGCTGAATCACGCTTGTGGGGCTTGGGCTGCAGGGCTATAACATTGTAATGTAGACTTGTGGTCTTGGACTGGAGCCCTGGCTCTGAGCCCCCGCAAGGGGGTGGGTCTCAGAGACCGGGCTCCAGCCTGAGCCCAGATATCTATACTGCAATTTTAAGCCCCACAGCCCAAGCCCCAGGAGCCTGAGTCAGCTGATCCAGGCTCTGAGATTCAGTGCCACAGGTTTTTCATTGCAGCATAGACATATCCTAAAAGTGCCTTAGCGTGCTTTGATCTAGTCCTGTTTCAAAGCAAGTTAGATCAAAAATCACTAGAAAACAGTGCATGTCTGCAGGGTCCATGTGGGCACTTAGTGTCAGCAGACTACTGTGGAACAGGTTGTCACAGGCTGCAGCCCTCATTGCCAGACTGGCACCTCCTCCAGGTCATGCTGGGGATTAGCTTGAGGCCAACCCATCCAGGGTCTGCCATCAGCACTCTGTCTTTGCTCCTGCCTACGGCTCCTCTCGCAGCATCCTCTTCTCAACTCAGCCCTCCAGTAGGTCGTCATCTGTATTTCCCCCTTTCGGGAGGTGGGGGGAAGGGGTATCTCTGTCCAACAGTCCAGCCACTTCCTCAGTGGCAAGTGGGGGGGGAGCAGGGCCTGCCCACTACTCCAGGCCCCAACCCAGGGACCCTGCAAATAGCAGCCTCCTGCTGTTCTACTGTCAATACTGCTCTGTTTCCCTGGGCCACTTCCCCATGGCCCTAGCATCTTCTTCACCCTCACCTCAAGGCACACAGCGGCTCAGTCCCAGGAGCCAGCCACTGCTCTGTCCAAGGTGCTTACAATTCTCTCAGCCCTCTAGGGATGCAGTCCTTACTCTGGGCTCCCAGCAGCAACTGATCCTGCTCTGCCCTGTGGCTCTTATTATATGGGACCACTGGTCCATGACTGGCTGTTCCTTGCAGCCTCTCTCCTATTGGCTGCTTCTTGTGCAGCCTTCCCAGGGCTGTATTAACCCTTTCTCTGCCAGTGTGGGGTGGACGCCCCATCACACAGATTAACACCATAGCTTGTCCCAGACTAGAACAGAGTCTCTAGACACTATACAAACATACAGTAAGAGATAATCCCTGCACCAAAGAGTTTATAACCTTAATAGACCAGGTGGAAAGGAAGTACTATTATCCCCATTTTACAGATGGGGAATTGACACACAGAGAGACCAAGGCCCAGATCTTCAGAGGTATTTAGGCACCAAACAGGAGGATCTAGGTTTGAGGGACTTGCCCAAGGACATACAGCAAGTCTATTGCAGAGCCAAGAATTAGCTCAGGTTTTCTGAGACCTGGTCCAATGCTTTAGCCACAAGACCACCTCTCTAGGGGTGGTGATTTTAAAGATGTAGATGAATCGGAGACTGATTAATCCTGTGTTTTTAAATTTTGTCCTTTTAAAATGTGTATATGTTTTATTGAGTTGTGTCAATTTAAAATTAGAATTTATTTTTATATTTATTTTTTGTAAATGACCTATGGCTAAGACTCTATATATTAATAAATGTATTATTCATTATTGCTACTTTCCTGATCTGCAAATTCTTCAGGCTTGACTGTTTAAACTACCATGGAAAGAGTGTGTCACTGACATCAGCTTTACTATGCCAAAGCCAATAATCCCAGAATTTATTCAAATTACAGAAAAATATCCAAATGCCCATAGAAAAGAAAACCACAGTTTAAATTAAAAAATGCAAGAGGATTGTATACTCATACGAATATAACCCAACATTTCACCACCCTTCCTCCAGGAGTATGTTCTGCACAGATTTTCAGTATTTTAAAATACTATCTGTTAACGGACATTTTAAATGAAATCAGTGTGTGTAAGTAACGCCCAGACCACAAGCTATTAGTAAATGTTTTCCAGGGAAGATCTATTAGTGAGCACAGCATCAAAACCCTGCAAAACATCCACTGTTTATTAAAATTATATGTGAAATTTCTGATCCAGTTACCATTGACTGCCATACCTACTTTCCTCTATTGTTGTTTTCAATTTAAAAAACTATAAAGGCAGAGGGGGCGGGCTTTCCTATTTTCTGCTGTGCAAGGCAGTATGACAATAAACCCTCTCTTATCTTTCATCAAAGTATTTTTTTCTTCTTTCTATTATCAGTTTAAATTTCCCTATCTTCACAAGAAGGCCAAAATTTGCCTGCTTGATGGGTTTATTTTCTGAGACAAGTTTTTCAAAACTTACCAACACAGATCAAGTGAATTAGAGCCCAGAAATAGCCATCTGGATCAAACTGCAACAGAGAACAGCTAAATAAATAAATGCTCATGCATGTAAATACGTCCACAAATACTACTTTTGTATTTGGTTTCACAAATTAAAAGCAATGGGAACTGCACTATAAACGACAACACATTAGGAGAGATTAAAGATTTCTCAAAGACTCTCTTAGAGCCCAGAGGATCATCCTCCCTCTGTATATCTGGACTTTATATTTCATGGACCAGCTCATCAGCTGGTAAAAATCAGTATAGTTCAATTGGCTTCCATGCATTGATTTAAATAACCTGAGAATCCAACTCCCTAATCTCCACTCTCTGCTGTCAAACCCTGGCATTGCAGCTACTCTTCTTCAAGCAGAGGAGAAGAGACATGACTCCCTCAGAAACCTGTCACAACCAATTCTCCTAAATTAGCATAGCAGACGGGGGACTGCTGCGGAGTACTGTAATGCGTTTCTTCCCACAGTAGCCAGTTATTCTGTCTCTCCAAGGGTACCTCTACACAGCCAAAAAGACCTGTAGTAGCATGTCTCAGAGTCAGGGTCAACTGAATCACGCTTGCTGGGCTTGGGCTGCAGGGCTAAAAATAGCAGTGTAGATGTTTGGACTCAGGCTGGCATCTGGGCTCTGAGACCCTTTCTCCTTTTTGGGTTTCAGAGCCCCAGCTCCAGCCCAAGCTCAAATATCTACACTGCTATTTTTTAGCCCAGCAGCCCAAGACCTGCAAGCCCGAGTCAATTGACTCAAGCTCTGAAACTCACTGCTGCGGGGGTATTTTTTGCTGTGTACACATACCCTAGGATTCTCAGCCTCTGCAGGCTTGTAACAGGAGAGACCATATGACTGGATCAAACAAAGATTGCAGTGCAGACCACTAGGCCTACCCCAGACGTGTACCTTCTGTTACAGTATCCACTCTTTCAGTACACAGGCACACACACCATAAATACAAAAAACTTTACTGTCGGGAAAAATTGCCTTAACGCCTACTACTTAGTTTGGGAGCAGGGCCCCATCTGTCTGTTATGTTTGTGCAGTACCTGAATAATGGGGTCCTGGTCTGACTGTCTATCATAGACAGATGCTCTCCATGCTTCTATGGCCATCTTTGTATCTCACAGTCTATAATTTATCCTTACAACACAAGTACTATTATCCCCATTTTACAGATAGGAAACTGAGGTACAGAGAAGCAAAGTGACTTGCTCAAGATCACCTAGGAAGTTTGTGGCAGAGCAGGAAATTAAACCTGGGTTTCCTGAGTCCCAGGCTAGCACCTTAACCCCTGGAACATCCTTCCTCAAGACTGAGTCTCTTAAAAACTACCACAATACAAATAAATAAAATAATAAAATGATCATATACTATGTTATTAGGGCTGTCAAGCAATTTAATTTTTAAAATTGTGCGATTAATCACGATTTTTAAAATCGCGATTAATCGCACAATTTTAAAAATTAATCACGTGATTAATTGCACTGTTAATAGAATACCATTTATTTAAATATTTTTGGATGTTTTCTACATTTTCAAATATATTGATTTCAATTACAACAATTAAAGTGTACAGTGCTCACTTTATATTTATTTTTTATTACAAGTGTTTGCACTGTAAAAAGACAAAAGAAATAGTATTTTTCAATTCACCCAATACAAGTACTGTAATGCAATCTCTTTATCATGAAAGTTGAACTTGCAAATATAGAATTATGTACAAAAGTACTGCATTCAAAAATAAAACAATGTAAAGTTTTAGAGCTTGCATGTCCACTCAGTCCTACTTCTTGCTCAGCCAATCGCTCAGACAAACAAGTTTGTTTACATTTGCAGGAGAGAATGCTGCCCGCTTCTTGTTTACAATGTCACCTGAAAGTGAGAACAGGCGTTCTCATGGCACTGTTGTAGCCGGTGTGGCAAGATATTTACGTGTCAGATGCGCATGCTTCAACCACCATTCCAGGGGACATGTGTCCATGTTGATGATGGGTTCTGCTTGAAAACGATCCAAAGCAAATCGGACCGACGCATGTTCATTTTCATTATCTGAGTCAGATGCCACCAGCAGAAGGTTGATTTTCTCTTTTGGTGGTTCAGGTTCTGTAGTTTCCGCATCAGAGTGTTGCTCTTTTAAGACTTCTGAAAGTGTCCCTACCCCGTCCCTCTCAGATTTTGGACAGCACTTCAGATTCTTAAACCTGTAGCTATTTTTTACAAATCTTACATTGGTACCTTCTTTGCATTTTATCAAATCTGCAGTGAACTTGTTCTTAAAACAAACAACAACGTGTGCTCGGTCATCATCCAAGACTGCCGTAACATGAAATATATTGCAGAATTCAGGTAAAACAGAGCAGGGGACATACAATTCTCCCCCAAGGAGTTTAGTCACAAATTTAATTAACGCATTATTTTTTTAATGAGCGTCATCAGCACGGAAGCATGTCGTCTGGAATGGTGGCCGAAGCATGAAGGGGCATACGAATGTTTAGCACTTTTGGCACGTAAATACCTTGCAATGCCAGCTACAAAAGTGCCATGCAAATACCTGTTCTCACTTTCTGGTGACATTGTAAATAAGAAGAGGGCAGCATTATCTCCTGTAAATGTAAACAAACTTGTTTGTCTTAGCAATTGGCTGACCAAGAAGTAGGATTGAGTGGACTTGTAGCCTCTGAAGTTTTACACTTTTTGTTTTTGAGTGCAGTTATGTAAAAAAATTTTTTTTAAATCTACATTTGTAAGTTGCACTTTCAGGGCAAAGAGATTGCACTACAGTACTTGTATGAGGTGAACTGAAAAATTCTATTTCTTCTGTTTATCATTTTTACAGTGAAAATATTTGTAATCAAAATATACACTTTGATTTCAATTACAACACAGAATACAAGATATATATGAAAATGTAGAACATCCAAAATATTTAATAAATTTTAATTGATAGTCTCTTGTTTAACAGTGGGATTAAAACTGCGATGAATCGTGATTATTAATTTTTTTGAGTTAACCGCATGAGTTAACTGCGATTAATCAACAGCCCTAGTTATATTAAACATAATAGGCCAAGGAGACAGTTTTATAACCCTTCACAAAACTGACTGTGAATTACCTTAGCACACAAGCAAAAGCCATGCAAATATATTCCCCCTGCTTGGAAACAGGACTCCCAAATACCAAGGTCAAAGACAGCTGACAAAACAGAACCCACCTGCATGTCAAACAAAGGAAGGCACCCTGCTGCGATCAGGAGGAATAGCACACTGTGTGAAAGAAAACAAAGACCTATAGTTCGTAACCCAATGCTGCACTCTCAAATCAGATTGGGAATTTCCATTCAATCTCACACTGACATCCCTTCATTTTTACATAGATTATCACCTTTTCCACCAACAGGAAGGTATTTTACCTATTCCCCTTTGTATTTAACAACAAAAAAAGAATTTAAATCAGCAGAAAAGAATACCCGTGCAAAATATACATGAGTTAATGCTGTGGACAAGCTTTGTACCTGAGAGTATTAATCATATTGTGCCAGAATCTCCCTTACCATCCAGCCCCTTTGTACCACTCCGGCAGCACAAAGGGGGGTCAGGTTATGGCAATAAATGGCCAGCAAAGAGTTCCACTTGTTGAGGGGAGTTCCCTGCTGTCATAAGCCCAGCAGAGGTGGCACCTGCACCAGCCACTCCTCCCCCAACTCCTAGCATAGGGAGCACACTGGGGCCATGGTAGACTGAGGGTGCAAAGGAGAGAAGCTCTAATATACCAATCCTCCACTGGTGTAAGGTCCCTAAAGCTCTTACTCACGTCAGGGCTGAGTCAATTGCAGAACCAGGTAGCTAAAACCTGCTCCTTGACAGCACCCTTCTCCCCTGCTCCAGGCAGAGCTCAGATGCAGGGCAGAATTAAGCCTGTTTTCTTTAATTGTTGTAACCCTCATCCCTCCCTATGTATCCCTTCCTTCATCTGTTGGCATCATTTCTTAAATTCACCTAATTCAGAATGTACGCATTTTGGGCCAAAGTTCATGTCTATCTTTATTTCCGCAACACACCATGAAAAGTTAGGAACTCTGCATCAGTAGTAACAATAATGAACAATTGTTTTGCAGTTAGTTTTCCAGGGTTGTGAGGTGTTTTTTGGTTGTTGGGTCTTTTTTTAAATGTGGCAGGGGAAAGCAAAACCAAGCAAGAAAAACTCAGGCATGCTTGATGGAGATAATCCAGTGATCAAAACCCATATATAACAAGATCACTGGGAAAAAACACCTGGATTGAAAAAAGTTCTAACACATCAATGAACGTGTTGCTTCTAAACAGCATAAACGTTAAACTAATCTTCTCTGATTAGGGGCAAGGGGGCAGCTGTACTCTCAAGCTTCAAAACAAAGTGGCTAATCCACACTCTAAGGCAGCGTTTTTCCAACTTCGGGTTACAACCCAGTACTGGGTCGCAGCATGTCAGGCACTGAGTCACTCTGATCAGCACCGCCGACCAGGTTGTTAAAAGTCCCATCAGCGGTGCTGCCCAGCTGAGGCAGGCTAGTGGCTACCTATTTCGACACCACGGTGTGCCCCGGAAGTGGCCAGCAGTGGGTTTGGCTTCTAGGCGGGGGGCCACGGGGCTCCGCGCGCTGCCCCTGACCTAAGCACCAGCTCCGCACTCCCTTTGGCCAGGAACTGGCCAATGGGAGCGGGGGTGGGGGAGTGCCTGTGGGCAAGAGTTGGCGCGAAGCCGCTTGCATGCCTCCGCTTAGAAGTCAGACCTGCTGCTGGCCGATTCTGGGGCGCAGCGCAGTCAGCAGTGCCAAGACAGGCAGAAAGCCTGCCTTAGCACCCCCGCTGTGCCACTGACTGGGAGCTGCCTGAGGTAAGTCTATGCCCCAACACCACGCCCAATCCCCTATCCCTACCCCAGCCCTGAGCACCCCCCCACACAAACCCAAAGCCCCTCCTGCACCCCAACCCCAGAGCCTGCACTCCGAGCCCAGAACCCTGACCCCCTCCCTCACCCCAACCTCCTGCCTCAGCCCAGGGTCGTCTTCCACACCCTGAACCCCTCATTTCTGGCCCCACCCTGCAGCCCTCACCCTTGCGCCCCAGCCCTGAGCCCCTCCCACACGCCAAACCCCTCATCCCCAACTCCGTTGGGTCGCAGGCATCAACAATTTTCTTCAACTGGGTCCCCAGAAAAAAAGTTTGAAAACCACTCCTCTAAGGGGTTGTGTGGAAGGGAAGGAGCACTTGGTCTTCTGAATGAATGGCTTTTCTATTTGTTATTCTCCCTCTCTCCTTTTCAGAGGTTAAACTTATAGGGGCAACAAATAAAGAGCCAGATTCTTCCACCTAGCATGAGAAAGGGTGGCAGAATTGGGCCCTATAATTTTCAGAAAGGCCATTCTTGAGCTACTTTAAAGCTTCATTCTTTTGCTGTTTATGATTATCCTTTGGAAGCTTAAACTTGAAATATGTTTCCTTTCCAAAACATTTTTTGCCTCCATCCTGTGCATGTAATGGTTTGTTAGTTATAATCACTGGCCTTCCAGCAATGACATTTAAATTATACAAAGGGGAGGGGGGGAATCTATTTATACAATTGTTTTTAGAAAATATATAAAGATAATTTAATTACATAAATATTCAACGTGGGCCTACTGCGGCCCATAGTAATGTGTCTTAAGTTATACATTGTTTTGGTGTTCCATTACCTGAAGCAAATATAGAAACCAGAGCCAAAACCAGTGCAATTCACCCCATCTGAGTAGCTTAAAAAACTTACCTACAGATTTTTGGGAGAGAGGTCTGCTGTATAAAAAGAAAGAAAATGTGCTCAAAAGATTTAAAGTGACTGATCGCTGAAAAAGTAATCATTTTTTTGCATTAAGATGGGAGATAGATTTCAAACATTTTCTCTGGTGACTAAATATTTGCTATACATAACAAAAATTCAGAACTGATAATTTAATAAAATAAGTTCTACATATGGTGGAAAAGAGTCTCCCAACAAAGAGTTAAAGCCATTATAGATCATCCCAACTGGCAAATAAATTGGTTCAGAGGCTGACAAACAACAATAAACCAGCCATTGTGCTTGACTGGGACACTTACTTTGCAGTAGAATGAGGATTATAGATTGGCATAAACCAATCTCAGAACTGAATTTTCAGCATACTGGCCATCTTAACCTGAAACCAGATATGAATTTCATACCTGGCCTTCATCTTGGAGTGAGCCAAAAGCCTGGATGTCAATACACCCAAACTGTGGCGCAGCTGGATCAAATTATAGACATTTGTACAGTCTTTGAGCTTCAGTTTTTTAGTGGCACCCAGTGCTCGCTGTTTGTCTTTTATTCTACACACCAGAGATGTAATTAATGGAAGATTCCTTTCAAACTAGAGGAGGCTTCATGTGGTGTGAAGTGCTTGCCAGGGCCACTCTACACAGCAAATCACACTGATATCTAATAAGCAGGATCTCCAATACATCTTAAGACTAGAGACAGATCCCCACTCCTATTAAAGGAAATGGGAATCTTTCTCCTGACTTAAATGGGAATTGCACTCTATAAGAGTACAGCTACACTGCGTTTTAAAACACATGGCAACAAGTTTCAGAGCCTGCATCTATAGACATGGACTCATAGTTCTGGCCCTAAAACCAGGTGTGTAGATATTGTGGTTCAGGCTGGGGCTCGGTCTCTGAAGCCCACCCTGCCTTCTTGGGCTTCAGAGCTCAGACTCCAGCTCAAACCCGAATGTCCACACAGCTGTTTTTAATTCTGTAGCGCAAACCCGATGAGCCCAAGTCTGTAGACCTGGGTTCTGAGATTCGCAGCCATGGGATTTAAAAAGCAGTGCAAACATATCCCAGAGCATCTAAAAATGTATGGTTCCTCCCCGACTTCCATGTTCAGATGCGATCAATTCCAGCTGTGTATAGTTCACAAGACTCATATCACTTATCAAATCACTATACACATAGTACCTGCAAGATTTAAGGGGGCCAATTCTCCTGCTATTGAGGTCAAAGGATCAAGTTCTTATATCTGGCAAAAGGAGATGGGATTTTCATTTTCAAAAGGAACAAGTCATCAGGATCAAACCAGTCTTAAAAAAATACAGATCAAATTGTCAATATACATTCAAAGTATTTCCCTAGACAAGAAAAAGGTCAATAGCTTGATATTTGCTGACAGTGACTGCTGTCTCTGAGACTCACTGCAGTGCAATCAGTGCAGACAGGAAAGCATGCAGGACTAATTTAGATATTAAAAGAAATACAGCATCTTGTTATGGTGCAGTTACATTACTGGAACTGGCCTTTCATATATCAATTACCTCTTTCTGCACAAACTTCTGGAATCCACAGGTTATAACTTCTGCTGCATTGTGGACAGTAAGGAACACAGGAATTGGCTGCCACCGGAGGAGGAAAATGACATTCAGAATTAGTACCCTCTCTCTCTACAGTAAGCTGTTATTCATTTTCCTATATCTGTCTATTGATACAGAAACTTGGGTGTTACTTAAGAATAAGGCATTGTGGATGCCATGGTTTTACAGGTTTACCATCAGTTTCTCCTATAGAGAATTGTCATAAACTAGGGAAGTAGTATAGAATAAGGTACTCAAGCAGTACTGGAATTCTACCTTCAAGCCAAAAGGACCCAGAGGAGCCTCTTGCTGCTACTCCAATGAAAGTAATCAAGAAATAGACAACAATAACAGTGATTAATCTGACTCCAGGTGAAGTCAACTAGACTGCAGGTGCTCAGCACTTTTTGAAAATCAGATCTGAGGCGTCTCAGATTGACAGCCAAAAACTGAGGCAACCCAACGTCAGAAAATGTTGATTTTAATTCTCATAATACTCATGTGAGAAAAGTAAAAATTAATATCCACAGATGGGGAAAACAGACCTGGAGAGATTAGTTCATGTTTGTAAAGTGCTTGAGATCCACTTGGATGATAAATGGTGTATGCACCAAATACATCTTAGATTTTATTTTGCAAAGAAGCCTCAAACCATTTTTATGTGTTTTGTTCTTTTTCAAATAGCTGGACAAAATGTCCCTACTAAAACATTCCTAGCTACAATGACAATTCAAATGGAGCAATGAACACATTTACACAATGATTGCTTTAGACACCTTTAAATTAGCAAGAAAATGGGGGAAAAAATCAAGCAAACAAAAGTGCATGTAGGCAGCAAATTGTCAGTTGCTCTTTCACTGGTAATGAAAACCTAACAAGTCCTGACCCCACAGCTGGACTTGGACTTCTGATGCCAAGTGAGAAAGTTAAAATGAGACCATCTAATATAAGCATCTTGAGCTAGACACAATAATAGGAAAATCTAGAAATAATGATATCCAAGGAAAGTTGACACCAGAATTTACGTTCTTCCTTTTGTGGAGCCAATTTACTACTTTTTTTGTATGCTATTGGCTCCTTCTGGAGTCAAAAGAAATGTGTTTTAGAGCCAACAATTGCTCCAATTTGACCAGCTCAGTTAACCTTCTCCATATGTTTATTATCTTTGATGTGAATATTTTTTTTAAATGTATGAGTGGCTTTAGTTCTCATGAACGGAAGGTTTACTGTCTGGGACCAGCCACTGCAATTGGATTCTGTGCAGACTTCCCGACACAGTTCTGTCAATGCATCTCAGTCCAGACGCAAGCAATCCTCTTCCAGTTCCAGACCTGTCCTGAGCAGAGAGATGGACAGTGTTTTTTGTGAAGTGCACAAATAATAATAATAGAGAGCCCAATACAGTAAACAATTATGTGTGTAAGTTATTCACTCATAAGTGTTTGCAGGATTGGGCCCTTGGCATGGCCCATGAAATTAATTTAATTTCTACTTGGGAGGTAAACCACTGGATCCAAGAGCCAAACCTACTGCTGATGAGAGCAGGCCCAACTCCAGTGATCTGTTAAATCAATTTTCCTTACGTCTGTATTATATGCCTATAGTGGACATTGAAGCATGCATTCAGGAGTGAAATTCACTCAAATACATGAACCTACACACCAGTTAGGGTCCATGAACCTAATAGGACTATTCCCATGAGTAACTTTCTCATGTGCCCAAGTGTTTGCAGGATTGGCCCTTAAATCCCCATTTGTCCACATCACGAAACCGAGTACGACTGGTAGCTTCTGTTCAAGAGAGGTTAGGACATGGACCACTAAGATCTGTGCATGGACGGAAACCTCATTGTGTGGATCTCTGCCATCCTGCACAGAAGTGGGCTCAACCCTTCCTCTCCCCCCCAGAAAATATTCCCCTCTTTCCTGGATGTCCATGTATCCAGGCAGTAGGGAAGGAGTGGAAACTGGGTAAACCAAGGGAGAAGTGGGTGAACCAGAGATCTGACTGAGGAGGACTTACTCGGTACCTCCTCCATCCCTATGGAGCGCAGGCAGAGAAGACAATACAGCCTGAAGCCTGAGGATGCTTCATTGTTTCCTTTTAGCCCTTTCTAAAGGATCTGTGGTTAGTCACAGCCAGGAGACGCCAAATGGATCTGCTCTAATGAGGAGCCAGAGAGGCCACCATTGTAGGTGACTGGGGTGAGATTCCATCTGCGGGCAAATGGTCCCAGTTTCCTGAAGATCCACTGTAACCAAAAGGGAATGAGATTGGGCCCCACAGCCTTTTCCATGGCAGTGGGGGGCCCTGCCCTTCACCCTCTCCACCCAACAAGATGAAGCTGAGGTGTATCACTGCAAGCAGATCCTTATGGAGATTACCCTCCCCATCCCTCCTGTGGGTTTTAATGTGGGTGGGTATGATCTGGCCGTGGAGTTGAAGAGTGTTGTCTTGGTCTGGATTGGGATGCATTGACAAAACTCATAGGGTAGTTTGCACAGCATCTGATCACACAGACTGGACAATTCCGATAAAATACTGCTATGGGTTTTTTAAAATAAGGTCACAGGATTTTCATTTTCAAAAATACTGAAGGCAATTTAAACAAATGATATTAAATATTACTTAAAGCATACTTGACCTCACCTAGATCTTCACTGGCCTATTATGGTTTAAATGACTTTATGAATCCATTCAATCCTTTAATCTCTTCCCAAATAGACAATTTGCAATTTATTTTTTCAAACTCCATAATGTGTCAAAAATATCCTGTAAAAGGGACACAAGCCTTTTCCATTGATCTCATTATGTATCTCATTTGCAATAGAGGAAAACAATTTAAAAAACAGAGTTAGTAACTCCTCCAGCAACTTCTGTTTGCATAAGGCAGATTGGCCAGGCTCTATTCTGCAACATGCTGAGCATTCCTGGGAGGTGCTGAGTTCTCTCCGCTATCACTGAAGTCAGTGGGAGTTCAGGGTGCGAGGTACATCTCAGTGATGCTCCACATCTTGCAGAATCAACACTCTAATCTCTAGTAGTGTTAGTAAAACAGCACTGAAATCCTTGCTTGTAGAATATTTTCTTTATCCATGAAGTATAGAGAATCTGATTATTCATTTCCATTGGTATGTTCCTTACCAATCTAGATAATGCCCTGGAACCTGCATAGATAATGCCCACAAAAAGCGCTGAAGCCGGGAGCCATGTCAATACTTCAGATCTGTAAAAAAAATGAACAATACCATTATTTACCACATTCCTTTTACAAATGGCCATTAGCAGTAGTTGTTTATGCTGGACAATGTAAAAGGGCTTTCTCAAGTAAAGCTGTACATATTTAATTCAGTGTTTTGCCCCCACGTTCCCACCCCCAACTTACTTAGGAACTCTCCAGGACAGAAAAGAACAAGTTAACTCACCTAACCCCAAATTTCCCTTTTACTGAAGCAGCAGTTGTGCTCCCCAATATATATCTTCCCAGAATACTTGTTTAACTTCCATTAACAGCAATTGTTCGGATTGATTTTGACAGACATTTTCATTTTAATTGGCATCACTGATGCTCAATAGAAGTTGGAAGAACTGACAGATGAAGGTATAAAATGCCCTGTGTGATGCATATATATACACACACACACACACACACACACACACACACACACAGGATGTACATGTTTATTCCTCAGCTAGGTCTGCAAACATATTCCTCACTTAGCCCCTGTGGGATTTGCCTCTTGAGTTCTCATAATGACATACCTTTGACTAAGGCAAACTCCTAGAGGCAGTTTAACAACTAATACGGGCGAATGAAGTCATTCCAGCTTAATCTAATTTTTCTTAGTCATGTTTTTTGCTGTGGGCTGAAGCTTCACCTTTATGAAGAGTCTTCACAATTTGTTTTCTTCTGCAAGTCTCAGGGTAGGGGAGGAAAAGCACCAAGCAAGTGGTTAACTTCAGTGGGAGTGATATCAAATCCTGAATAAGGGGGGGAAAGGGGGAGCAACTAAGGGCCTGATTCAAAGTCAATTGAAGTAAATGGATTTTTCCACTGATTTCAGCTGGCTTTGGATCAAGCCTAACAGATCATGAAGTAACTCCAGAATATTTATTTTTAAAAAGTGTGGAATCCTAGTTCTTCCAAAGGCAATTGAATACTACAAAACAAGCCCCTGGTTTACATCATGTTCATGAAATGTGGACAAGAGCCAAAAAGTGCAGTCACATGATGCAAAAAGCAAAATAAAAAACTCCATTGAAGAATGTGAAATTAAAATGAGCTGAACTGAGGATATATGTGCAAAGATTTATGCAAATACAATGAAAGAAAAACATAAACATCGTGTTTCATTTCCTTCTGCACATTTCTTTTCATATATGCTTTTGAAGACACATGACTAAAAAACCAGGAGATCTAAAAGTCACAGACATAAAAATCCCCAGGCTTTCTTGGGTAGTTATGATCAGTTTGATAGGAATAATGCACCTTTTAAGGCTATTGACTTCAATTGGAATTTTGCCTGGACCAGGATCTGAACCTACTGTAGTGCACTACCAATGAGTTCACATCAGATCCCTACCTAAAGCAAACTATGCCATTGGAATGAAGAACTCTGAAAAAATAAAACCCCACAACTTGAGTACTGGATTCCCATTAGGAACATAAAAATAAAAAAACCCTGACCACCATGTGAAGTTTCAGGAATTCCCAAAATGTTTATATCTCCAATGCAATCATACAAAATGCAGTGAAAAAGAATTTCAAAAGCAGTTCCCATGATGTAACAGTATGTTGGGTACGTTTGACCAAGAAAAAGCCTCAAGTAACGTTTCATTGAATAGTCCAAGAGGGGAAACTGAAGAAGGCTGCCTGTAGTGTGACCCTAGGCCACGAGAGGGCACATGAGAGGCAGCTGGCTGGGTTACACTGAGACCTGGCTTATGCTACAAGGTTAAATTGACATCAGCTGCCTTGCGTCAACCTGTCTATGGAACTGCATCCGACGAAGTGGGCATTCACCCACGAAAGCTTATGCTCCAATATATCTGTTAGTCTTCAAGGTGCCACAGGACTCTTTGTTGCTATCTGTGGAAGTGTCTTCACTTAAATTTGGCTCCTGCCAACGTAAGTGCCTCTCTACACCAATTTAGTAACACCAGTTCTCTGAGCGGCCTAAGGTCACATGGTCAATGTATTTAGGTCGATGCAGTGTCAGTGTAAACACTGTGTTGCTTACGTTGACTGTTACTGGCTTTCAGGAGCCGTCCCACAATGCCGCACACTGAGAATACAATTGATACAAGTGCTCCTGGTGAGGACGCACACCACCAATACAAGGAGCCAAGTGTGCCCCCACACACAAGCGATTTAATAACTGCATGCCGACATAAGTTAGGTCAACATAAATCTGTAATGTAGACATGGCCCAAGTCACTTGTACTAACGTGACTGACAGCAGAACGCAGTGACATGCATACAAGGAAGTAAACTGCTGTAACAAAGACAGGAAAGGCAAAGGCAGCTGCCTGGCTGTTAGGAGGTGATCAAAAGCCCACTGAAGTCAGTGGAAAGACTCATTAATTTCAGTGGGTTTTGAATCAGATCCTTAGGGCTCTGCATTTCTCTTTGAGTGAATGCAATATGAATCATAGTCTCTTACTCCCTGAGTAACTACGGAGATATTATGCATAGCCCCTTAGGGTGGGAACATATCCAACTCTCTACAGAGCCCTTCTTGCTGAGCCAAGTTCCACACAGAGTTACAAATACAGCCTTTTTTGCAGGTAGGAGAATGGTGACTGTGGTGGCCTTGGGAGATGATAAACTGGGGTGTCCAAAAAGCTAAGAAAACTTCTTGTAACCACATGCTTTATATAACTCAGTATCTGCTGCTTTTTAGCTTTTATAAAAGATATTTCTTGGGTTCAAGGTCAGAAGTACACGCAGGAGAAAGGGATATTCCAGTGCAAAGCTAATGGGGCTACATTTTTCAAAAGCACCCTTTAAGTTTGGGTGCCTTACTTGATGCACCTGATTTTTCAGAGGTGTTGAACGCAGCTCCCAGAAGCATCACTTGGAGATGTGGACACTTGGCACCTCTGAAAACCAAGTTTAGCTATCTAAAGATGGGCTCTCAAAATTAAAGCCACCCAGAATTAAAGAGCATTTCTGAAAATTTGGACTTCAATGTCTTACACAAATTGCATTACCTACCTAAGGGTAGAGCAAAATATGAGACTTCATACAAAGACTGGAATATAATTACAGTGCTTTGCAAAATGAGTCTAAAGCATTGGCTATGCCTAGTTATTTAATTTAGTCATTAACTAATAGAGAATGTCTACTCCATAACACTATGGAGAAATTCTCTCAACTGTTCATCTCTCAGGGATTGTTAGTCTCATTTAGTTCCCTATATCAGACTGACATCTAGTGGATGTAAGGCTTTGTTTCCAAAACACACACAAAAGCTGGTCAAAATTTTTCCATCAAAACTTTTCTTTGATAGAAAATGGCTTTTCAACGAAATCCAAAGTTTTCATCTAAAATTTTCTTCAACATTTTTCAAGGTTTTCACTGAAACAAACAAACATTAGAAACAAAAAAATTCGGTTTAGTTTTGGGTATGGCTTTAAATTTTTCAACAATCCATAAAAACTCAAAGAAAAAAATTGACAAACAATTTTGATTTTGGTTTCATTAAAAAAAAATCATTTCCAAATGAGGCCTACTTTAAAAAAAATTGACAGGATGTAACTTATGCCTGCATCTCTTCTGTATTTCCAGGATATATTAAGGGTAAAGAAAAATAATGCATATAAAATAAAAGTTTGTTAATAACTGTAGTTACCAACTACCACTAACAGAACAAGGCTGTTCCCCGAAGGGTCTGATCCTGTCAATGAGAGTTTTGGACCAAAATATTCCCACTCTATCCAAATTGCTTATAAAAACATATCGGGACAAATTCTGTTCCCATCTACGTCCCTGCAACCTCTCTGAAGTCAGTCTAGTTACTTGGGTATAAGTGAAAGCAGAATTCAGCCCATTACTTGCAATTGTTTGGGTCTCAACACAAAAGTGCTCTATCTGAAAAACCTATCAACTAATATCACCATGAAAATTTCACTCCTTTATCAAATAAAATAGATGTATCTTTTTAATTACAATTTAAAATATGTAAGTCAAGAAAGCTTGGTTGCACCACCTTTTACCACTCGCTCTTCATGGAAAATTGAACCTCCACATCACCCATAGGCTGCATCTCATGCCTTTGCTAAGTCGAGTTTGTCTGTTTGAAAACCGTACATTTATACTCTGAACTGTGCTCACTTTCATCTGCTCCTACGTGGCAGCTCAATATTTTCCTCTGCAGCAAACCTAACTGTGTCATAGTCCAACAACAAAAAATAAATATTAATGACGTATTGCAGAGTTCACCGTACCTTGAACTGCAACTGATCTCCACCCAGCCCAGCTTCCAGGAGACGTGGAGCAGAAATCCACCAACTAATGTCTGCCACCTGAAACAACACAGAACCCAAAACAGGTGGTTTTTTTAAAAATCACAAACCATATTTCCCATAGCAAAGTTAGGTTTCCCCCATATGTGGCTTGGCATCTTTTCTTGTTATGCCTCCTAGCCCTGGAATGTTACCCGAGCCAGTAGAGCAGTGATGGGCAACCTGCGGCCTGCACGCAGCCTGTCAGGGTAATCCGCTGGCGGGCCACCGGACAGTTTGTTTACATTTGCACGGCCGCCCGCCGCTCCCAGTGGCCGCAGTTCGCCATTCCCAGTCAATGGGACCTGCAGGAAGCGGCGGCCAGCACATCCCTATGGCCCACGTCACTTCTCGCAGCTCCCCTTGGCCGGGAACGGCAAACCGCGGCCACTGGGGTCTGCGGGCGGCCATGCAAATGTAAACAAACTGTCTGGAGGCCCGCCAGCAGATTACCCTGACGGGCCGCAGGTTGCCCACCACTGCTGTACAGCACGCAGCCCTGCTCTTTTCTTTTAAAACCTTTCTTTTCATTAGCCTTCAATCTCTCCACCTCATCCATCACTCTGGCCACTGCCCCAAATCTAATTGTATTCAAATATACTTTATAAGGAAGGAACTGACCACATTAAAGATTAGCAACCCTGCTCTCTTACATTATAATCTTGGTCCTTCCATATACTCTCCCAACACCGTTTATTTATGGACTCTTGCTCTGGGTTAAAGTAGACTGTAGGCAGGGATCTGTCCATTTATTTGTCTGATAAGCACTATGCATGATAATGATACCCAAATGCTAACTTTCTGTTCCATTATATTACAGAAGGGAGAAGGGAAAAGAAAACAGTTAAATAAACAGGGTTTGGGGATTGAACTTCCTCTTTGTCTTCTCATGTTGTTGGGGGCAGGGTTGTTTTGGTTTTGGGGTTCTTTTTGTCCATCTGTTTAAGTTTAAATCCTGTAAACGCTATTGGATCTAAGGCTTCAACAACTGGCTTCAGTTGGATCATTCCTGGCAGTAAGCACCAGGGATACCATGTGTAGTCCCACTGACTTCACATATCAACTCAAACATGACTATTCATGGTAGCTTACACTAGGCCTGGATTGTAAACTCCCTACGGCACAAACTGTATTTTCTTCTATATAGTGCCAAGCATACTGTCAATAACAATCAAATAACGAATACATAGACTGTACACAGCACTCTTTAATCTGTAGCTTCTAGAGAAAGCTCCTTCATAAAAAGAACAGGAGTACTTGTGGCACCTTAGAGACAAACAAATTTATTAGAGCATAAGCTTTCGTGGACTACAGCCCACTTCTTTATAACTGGCTGGTTTTTTATACAAAATCCAAAACATCCTGGATCTGCCACTATATTGGTATTTCACAACAACTAATAACACTTTACCCTATCAGAAGAGCCTTCTCTATCCTACTAGAGAAACAGCATGTGAGATCATGAAAAGACGGTGAGGGAATTTATTTTAAACTATAAAAAGAAAATCTGTATACTCAGTGTTAGTTTTATGTTGCACATTTCCTTTTCCTTTGGTTTAGCAGAGTCTTCTTTGGGGATGTGGGGTTTGAATACTATTTGCTTTATATTCAGTAAATGTTTAGTGTGCTGTGCTGTAATGTGAAACCATTGTAGCCTGTGTAACTGTTAGGCACAAAGGGTTTGTTTGCCTGTTAGTCCTTTCATTGTGAAGCACTCAATTTAAGCGGTGTGTTGCAAAAAAATAAAAGAAAGACACCATCACATGCAATGCACTCTACAGCAGAGGTGGGCTAACAGTGGCTCACAGGCCACATCTGGCCTGCGGGACTGTTCTGCCCGGCTCTTGAGCTCCCGGCTAGGGAGGCTAGCCCCTGGCTCCTCCCCCGTTGTTCTTCTCTCTCCCCCACAGCCTCATCTTGCCATGCCGCCAGCGCTCTGGGGGCGGGGCTGCGAGCTCCTGCCGGGCAGCGCGGCGGCGTGGTTGGCTCCAGCCAGGCAGCGTGGCTGGCTGCAGCGGGGCGGCTGCCAGTCCTGCTGCTCTGAACAGCATGGTAAGGGGGCTGGGGGTTGGATAAGGGGCAGAGGGTCCCAGGGGGCAGTCAGGGGACAGGGAGGAGGGGGCGGTTGGATGGGGTGGAGGTTCGGGGTGGTCAGGGGACAAGGAGCAGATGGGGGTTGGATGGGTCGGAGGTTCGGGGTGGTCAGGGGACAAGGAGCAGATGGGGGTTGGATGGGTCGGAGGTTCTGAAGGGGGCAGTCAGGGGGCAGGAAGTGGGAGGGAATGGATAGGGGGCGGGGCCCAGGCTGTTTGGGGAGGCACAGCCTTCCCTATCCGGTCCTCCATACAGTTTCAGAACCCCGATGTGGCCCTCAGGCCAAAAAATTTGCCCATCCCTGCTCTACAGCCTGATGCTGGTGGAAAGCAGATAGATTACTGCCCACAGGGAACATTAAGAACAATCAGTGCAGCTACAACAGTTCACTTTACCTTGTTTAGATGAGGGGCATACAATAATGTAAAAGCTGGGTAAGCCGGATGTTCATCAGGGGCTTGATCCTGCTCCCATTCAAGTCAATGGCAAAACTCCCATTAGCGTTAATGGTGCAGGATCAAGTCCCAGAGAGCAAACTCACCTCTGGTATTGAAGATAATCCTACAAGGTGCAGAGCACCCACCACTCCTGTTGAAGTCAATGAGAGTTGAAGGTCCTCAGCACCTTGCAGGAGAGAACCCTACATTAGACAGAGAACACAAGCAATGACAGCAGACCTATGGCAGGGTGTGATGAGGAGGATAAGGCGCTTTTCTCCCCGGCTCACTTACTCCCAAATCTAACGCGATAGCATGCAAAGGCCTTTTAACAGTCAGTATTTACCAACCATTACTACAATGAGATAGCCCACTATTTCCGTGTACTTGGAAAAGGAAATAACTATAGCAACTCAGATAGCACAGTGTGGTAACTGCTAGTGAATGCTGACTTTTAATGAGGACTTACCATATTTGTCTTTCACATGCTCCCCTCACACACACTTCATCCCAGAAAAAATGAAGTGTTATTGTGTGTGTGTGTACAGTGCCTAGTCCATGACCAGGCCTCTTGGGTGAAACAGTAATATAAAGTAATTTGTACACACATTGATAGTAGAACAGACTCCTGGAAAAAAATTCATAACTCTTTTTCAGATTAATAGCCCTCACAGGCCTCAAAGAAAATGGAGATTCACAGGGGTTCATCACAGTAAAGGGGGGGGAAAAGACAGAAAAAGTTAGGTAATGGTCCAGGACTTGAAAATATCCACTCTCCATAAACACTATTGGCAGGTCACATATGCCAAGAGGACAAAAATGATGGTGAAATCCTGACCTCCATTAACATCAATGGGCCAGCATTTCACTCAATGTCTTTTATAAATTGATGACAGCAGTGATAGTAAATACAGATAACTTGGGCAAAACAAAAGGCTTGTCAGAGTCACCTGCATAAAGTTGTGATTTGTAACACAGAATTACAATTAAGAAATGGGCTGAGCTTGAAAATAAAGTGCCCTTGTATTTGTGTTAGCCTAGATACAGATTCGCCTTTAATTGTTAGCGTATTGGAAGAAATTAAATAAATCATGTATGCACATAAGCCAAAATCAGTACTTCTTAAAATGGTGTGGGAATCTTATAATTGCTACTTTCCTAGGTTAAAATAACAGGCCACCATGAAAACTAGAATTGACGGAGAGGCTGTTGATTTTGTAAACAGATACTTTACCAGGATGACATTCATATTAACATAGACAAGTTAACAAACACTTTACTAGGGCTACATGGAGTATGTTTTCTAGACAAGAAAAGCCTGTAATGACAGGAGATGCTAAAGTTAGCTTCAGCATGGAACAGCTAGACAATACTGATTAGAGTCATATTTCAAACAAATGTGTTTTTCAAATGGTACTTACCCTTGAAAAAGGGTAGGGTAGGTGAATTTCAGGACAGACAGGACATACTGGAAAACAAATACCAAGTTAATGAACATTACACATCCATGGTGTTATAACATTAACAGACATTCACGAAGCAATGGAGTACAAGAAACTTCTACAGAAGAAAGCATGAACAAGGAATTCTAAAATCAGTGCAATTAGACACACATCCCCAGCGCAGAACTGTTCTTAGCATTTCAGATGTGTTGGACCCTGCCTCATTCAGTGCAGGAGTTACATGGCATTAGAGTAAATAAAGGCTGAGGGCTGCATATTGAACAATGGAGAAAAATATAAATATTGGACAGCTGTCACATTCACTGAGCACCTTCCACACTGCACATGAGGCAAGGATCTGGAGGAAAAAAAATATGTGACAATGTAATTAAAACTATCATATTGCATGCCCATCCTGGGGCTGAGGAAGGGTTGAATGGGCATGTTAACTTTGCCATTTCTTGATGATGAGCACTGCACTTTGCAATTTCAGTGTGGTTAGTATCGTTTTTTTGCATGGAATATTAACTAGTGTTTGGAAAGTGCTTTGGAAATGTAACATGCTACAGAAGAAGCATTAATGTTGTTTCTTTAGAATGTTTTAGCAGATCAGTATGTGTGGGATGTGGATCCTAGGGTGATTTCCCACATATGTGCCTCTGCAAATAAGGAGCTAAAATCTGCCATCACTTATGCCTATGCAGCATCTAAGTACTTGCTATGACAAGGTTTATAAACACCATCCCCAGCAAAGGGGAGGAAGGAGTTAAACTTTCTCAGAAGGAAGGAAAAATTCCTGCCACACCCACAGATGCTGGAACTAGGGGTGCTGCCGCACCCCCTGACCTAAAGTGGTTTCCATTATATACAGGGTTTACAGTTTGGTTCAATGACTCTCAGCACCCCACTATACAAATTGTTCCAGCACCGCTGGCCAGCCCCAAAAGGGATAATACAAGCTGTCTGTGCTAAAGGGAGAAGCAAGCAAGTGGACCGTATTATTAATAAGTAAGGCATTGGATGCTAGCAGAGACATTTATTCCCTGTAAGGATCATACTTTGCTTAGACAACAGGCTAAGTAGACTCTGCCTACAGAGCTCAGCACTGAACAGTATGGAGGGTGAGAGACTCTGATCGTAGTCTGTTCAAGGACTGTGAGTGGTCTTATGTTCCCTGGAATGGCGAGAACTCTTGGGGAAGATTTAAATAAAACTCTTGATTAAGATCTAGTGCTGGTGAGCCTTCGCGTTTGAACCTGAAATTTGGCTGAATCCTAATGATCATTTGGGGGCTTCCAGACCTGCAGTGGAATCATATGGAGTAATTTTTGGCTCTGTGCTAGGACTCCAGCCATGCTCTTTTACAAGTTGCCACTTAGAGCCTCACTGACATTAGCAGGGTTATAAGCATGTGAGTAGGCCCAGTTAATCTCATCTAGTTCAGTCAATCCTGGTTGGGTTTCCTAGCTATATCATTACTGGACATAATGTAATGCAGACTTGTTACTGACATTTTAATAATATAGAGTCCAAAGATGTGTGTCTTTGGTTGAAACCACAGGCTCCAAATTTAACCAATATATGTATGCAAAAGATACCCTCACTTCTCATATACTATTCATGATTCTTATAAATAAAAATTACAAGTAGAATTGTAGAACTTAGAGAAATGAAAATCTATTTAATCATCCAGTCCATTACACTTTCTATCCACATACCCACCTGACCAGTATGTATTCGAATATTGGGTATTGAGAGTTTCAGATGTGTCTTTATGCAGCTTGCCTCGCAGTGAAACTAAATACATACTCCAAGCTAACTTTTCAGTTGTGATGTGAATAAATATGCCTGCTACACATTTTTTCAGATGAGTATGTGAATAATTGCAACAATTAGGTTGTACAGGTGTAAATGAAAGTAGAATTTAGCCCTGCGGATGAAATTTAACTAACAAACCTATTGATGCATGAGCCAGAAAAGAATCCAGTTTGCAGTCTTAACAATAGTTGCTCTGTAATGCCTTCAGGAGTAAAGAGTAGCAAAAACCTATTGGCATAATCTTGGAAGGAGCTGAGCAAAACTCAACACCCATTGCCTTTAATGGGCATGGAGGATGTGAATCTCTTGCAGGAATTGGCCCCTATATTTTGTTACTAAAGAAATGACTTCAATACACACTGGGAGGAGGTCTGAGCAAGAAAGTGGCATTTTACAGATACTCTTCAGAGTTGATATATGCCTTGGTTTAAAGCACAAGTGTCTTTCTTTCTTTCTTTGCTCTTATTCATGCAGTGCCTGGGACAAATGAAAATGCCTTATTCTGATTATCTTTTAACTTTTCTGCATTGAAGTCATAAACAATTTTTAGTTTGTGAGGGAGCTCTGTTTATCTTATCTAAAATATATTTACCCTAGCACTTTCTGCAGCCCAACACCATTTAGATACAACACAGCTGCTGTTTTGGTCCCTTTCAGTTCCTACCTGCTACGTCAACCCTCCTTGACATTCTTAATAGAATGTGTGTGGGACAAACTCAGAAGCGCGGAAGGTGGAGGGGGATTTTACATTGTGTCTTCATGAAAAACTACATTTCTCCATCTCTCCTAAGGATTTCCACACATCTTTGTTGTACAAACAATGGTGTCTCTTCTTGCAAAGTATCTGCACCAGTGCCACAGAGGCACCCTCTGGCAGAGAAAATAAGAAGAGGCTACCATAGTTTCCCCACAGTTATGTGACACTCAAAATACAAACTCTGGGATTGATTCTGATCTCACTTGTGTCCATTTTACCACTAGAATTCCACTGGCTTCAGTGAAATTACCACTAATTTTCACCATTCTCCTTGACAGCAGAATCACAGACTTACTGATGCCATCAACCCTGGGCTACAGGCATTCAAAATAAACCTGTGAAACTCAGAATGTGGAATTAAAACTACATAATACACAAACTCAGGTACTTAGCGAACAAATATAACAATTTTGGAATAAGTTTAGGCTATAAAAATTCTCATCCACAGTGTGCACTCTGGCATATTTTTCGTTCTATTTCTTCATGGAACTTCCAATGACATCAATAAGAGAGCACAGTGGAAAGTAGATTTTTGCACTGAATTTACAGCTTAATGATATTAAATCTACAATGGATATTAAGCTTTGCTTAGCTACCATGATCACCCTTTAAAACTCTGGCAGTTTTGTCTTGGATAAGGTACCTTGGTGTTTGCAGTATTCCCTAGTGAATGTTGCAACTACTAAGCTACCATTCTATTTTTAATGGTGGCTACTGTGCCTTCTGGTATACACTTAATCCTATGTTGAAAGCATAAGGACTACATCAAATATCAGGTCTTTACCACTTCCGCTTTCTATATTTGCCATGCAACTAATAGCCTTACAGGAATATTAAACTAACACTGTCAAAGCAATATAACTACTGGCTCTGTAGCCAACATTTTTTGTTTGCACTGCAAAGAGGCCCTCCCTTCACTCTTGTAAGTAAGCAGGATATTGCAATTTACATACCTCGAAAATGTTGCTTATTTTCACATCTTTGAAAATGGAGCCAGCTGAATGAGCCTCGGATGTGCATGAAATCATGGACAATCATATCCCCACAACAGCAAATAGAAACCCACTAGAGCTTTAGCTGAGAAGCTGAGTTTTCATTTATGTTGCAGCCCTATTTTTGGAGGGACTGGCAAACTTTTACTAATCAGTATAATTCTCAGTTTTGTGCCTTTTTTTACTGCTATCAGTGTTTGTCTGCCTCTGTTAGTTAACAGTTACTATATTTACAAGCCTTACATTGTATTGAAAGGATAATCTCAGATGTCAGAAGCCCAAAATTAGACCCACTTTTTTTTTCTTTTCTTTTTAATTCCAGTAAAAATTTTGAGAGGATTTTAAACATTTCAATTCTTCTTGGGGGGGGGGGGGGAGGAGGAGGAAATGTCAGCAAAACAGCACTCATGAGCAATACTAGAACAATAATAATGTTTAAGGATTACATTAAGAAACCAGGAGCCTGGTTCTCATCTAATGTACACAGCTATAATTCCACTGACTTCTGTGCAGTTACTCCTGCTTTACACTGGAATTGGTGGAAAGATAATGAAGCCTCATGTTTCAATTTCAAGCTTCCAAAGAAGTTTTTAAAAAGTGAGAAGAAATATAAAATGGCAGTCACACTTAAGTGAAAGTACTGTACAGTAATCATAACGGTAATTAATACTTGTTTAATTCTTCCCAGCCCCTTTCCCCCACAGAACCACACTTCACACATTTGTCCAAGGCTTTATTCTCTGCCTTACACTAACTTTGTAATCTGTGTATTTACATATAGCCCCTAATGCCGCCTATCACTTCCAGCTTTTCCAGATTTTCCTTCGACCTAACTTTCCCCCTCTCTGCTTTCTGGGGGCGGGACAGAGGTTGGGTATAAGAAGTGAAGGAACTGTTATATTTTATGGCTTCTTGCCGCTGGGCTGTTCTTTTAAAGGGAGATACAGCCGCAGAGATGCATCCTTTTAATATGGGGTTTGGGATTTCTGTTGTGTGTCTCCCTCATATATAGGGGCTAGAAGTCTCAACAATACAAGGACCTCTTCTCGATTCCTCTGTGCACAAGGACTATTTGCAAGGAGGAAGGGGTTTTGTATGCAGCTGACTATGACCAGCTGGAGTCTCTCAATTCTCAAGAGAAACTGAAAGTGAAATAGCAGCTCCTCCTCTTTCAGCAGGCAAGGAAAGATGCTGAGAGGAGAAAGAAATGCCGTTAGCCTCCCTCCTGTCAGATCTGGGAGAAAATCCAGGGAGGTGAATTAAAAAAGGAATGCTCAGGCAGTCAATACAAACCAACTTACAGCTCCCTCGTCCTCACCTTGTTGGTGAAATAAGAAGCCAAATAGAAGAGACAGAAGGAGAGACCAGCTGCAGGTCTCTTTAAATACATCTGTCACAGCATTTCCCCCGTCCGGGTGAGGAAGATGAGGCACTGGTTCTTCCTGCTGTGATCAACTGGAGACAGTGCTCAGGAAACTGCCACCTGGAGTAGCTGCCATGACAGAGACACGTTGCTCTATGATTGCTCCAATAGGCACAAGAACAACCTCCTGAGGAACTGCCTTCTTAAAGGGGCGATGCTCCCTCTTGCCAGAGGAAACACATTCAAGAGACGAGACACACAAACATGCTCACTCTCCCGCACTGCTGGCACACACACTTCTTACACTTGTGTGGTTCTCACACTCACGATTCTCTCACACTCCAGCTGATTGTTGTGGAAAATAAATGCCTACAGATTTTAATAGCGAATGATAACCTTTCCATAGGTTGTTTTTGGGAAACCATCCTACAGAATGTCTTTGGGAATTACATCCCTGCTCTAGAATTCTATAACGGTTCAAAAAATTATAGAAAAGATCACATTCTCTATTAAGCTTCACACGCTTGTCTACATAATGAAATAAGGTGTTGTTGTTTTTTAAACCAGATTTGTTCAATTAAGTTTACATAGCACAACTGGAAACCCCTCTAACCACCCTTTAACACCTTTACGTGGCTGTATTCTGACATTCCAAACCTCTGAGAAATTCAAACAGCTGCTTTTTTAAAAAAAATAATCCTGCCGCAGAAGGTTTCCTCCTTTTCATCCCAAAAATATGGAATTTCCCAAAATAATTACCCCATCTGAGGCCCAGTGTGGGCAAAATTCAGTCATGGCCCAGTGCCAGCTTTTCTTGAGAGAGAAAGTGTTGGAGTTCTGTATGTAATGGCCCTGATGGACCTGAAATGGGATCATGATCCCAACGTGAAAGGAAGATTCCCATGTTCAAAATGGGGTATGCAGCACTCACTTCTAGCCCTGAAAGAATCCAAGATATCAGACCTTAAAGAAATGACATTTTTACATATAGAAAAGCTATGTTAGGTAGCTTTAGAAGTTTTAACAGCTTCCTCTGAGCCCTGCACCATTGGTTGGACTCATAGGCCTGGATCTACAAAGGGACTTAGGCATTGCAATGCTCAGCATCACAATACCTAACCTTTAGACTCCTAGAAATCACAGGGATAACACTGCAATTCACAACGGCTGCTTTAGAGATCTAACCTCCCTATACAATGAATGGGGGAAGATAGATGCCATATCATGCGATCCACAAAACCCAGCACACTAGTTGGGGACCTGCCTAAGTTAGCCAATGGGAGAAGCCAATACAGTAACTCCTCACTTAACGTTGTAGTTATGTTCCTGAAAAATGCGACTTTATGTGAAACAATGTTAAACTAATCCAATTTCCTCATAAGAATGAATGTAAATGGGGGGTTAGGTTCCAGGGATTTTTTTTTTTTTGCCATACAGTACAGTACAGTACTATAGTTGGGAGCTGCCCCCGCTTTACCACACACAGGCACAACCCACTGGCACTGGAGGCTGAAGGTGCTGTAGGCTAGAAGAAGCACATTGCACAGCAGCAGCAGCTTCCCCTACTCTGCAAGCACCGAGGGTGGGGGGCTCAACCCTTGGCCCGCCCATGCCATCCCTTTCCCCAAGGCCCCACCCTTAACCTGCCTCTTCTTCCCCCCCTCCTCCCCCTATACTCCACAGGCCATGTCCTCGCTCCTCCCTCCCCTGGCTCCTGCCCACAGCAATCAGCTGGCTTGCAGCGTTCAGGAGGCAGGAGGGAGTGGGGAGGTGCGAGGACTCGGCGCGCAGGCGCCCCCCTCCCTCCCCTGCCTCCTGCCCGCGGCAATCAGCTGGTTTGTGGCGTTCGGGAGGCAGGGGAGGGAGGCGGAGCCTGCGCGCCGAGTCCCTTGTTCCTCCCCCCCTCCCTCCTGAATGCCGCAAGCCC